TATAGCATAGCAGCAACTTGCCAAAAGAGATGTGTTAGTGGGTTACAGGTGTCAACTCCAGCAATACCGAGTCAAAACCACCGCTCATGGTTTTCTGTGCTGTGTGCCAGTAGTTTTAACATTTTCCAGGAAATGGACAATTGCTCTTAGACTTGACTAGATCCTGAATTTTTGAAAGTCCCTGCAGTAATTCTAATTAGGAATTGTCTGTTGAAGGAGAAAAGGGGAGGAGGAGCACTGAGTATCTTCTGTGACTCTAGACTCATCTAGTCAAATGAGGTATTGACAGAATACTGTGGATGTTACTTTGGGTTTTTTTAAATACCAGTTACTGTTTTCACATTTTACCTGGGGAAATGCTAGTCCTGTCACATATTTTAGACTGCTTTCTCTAGTCTATGTATAACTAATTGCTCACTTAATACTTTTTGGGTTTTTTTAATAGCTTTCCATTGAAATTGGAACAGAAGTTAAAAACCAAAATAAAATGTTATCAGAAATGGTAAGTGTTTAGCCACTAACTTCTTAATCCTGCCCCATATTTAATGTAAAGTGTTCCTTCTTTTAGTATGAACATTTGACAGCTATTGTTGACAGTAAAATGTGATTAATACAGCACCAGTATTTCTGTTTAAAAAGATAATGTGCAAATTCATTATTGCCAAGGTCTTTACACTTCAGATACAACTATTTGTTTACAATTAGCAAATGTATAGTATTATTAAAAAGGCAGTTCTGTATTTAAATGTATTTAAAAATAGAAAAGAGAAGCAAAAAATAAGGAAGTCAGAAATGCCTTTTTTGCTTGTATCCGTTGGGATAAGCAGGTGAAAGTTTTTCCTGGTTAATTTTCAGAAACTGCCTCTAAAATAATTGTAGTTTGGGAAAATTTGAAAAAACAGGAAAAACTGCACTTAGCAAGATTTAGGGATAATCTTTTTTTCCCTCAGAGTGACATGGTTTTTGTTGGTTTCTTTGTTTGTTTTTAAATGTAGGATAATGATTTTGACTCTGCGGGTGGACTTCTGGGTGCAACTATGGGCAGACTGAGAACACTTTCCAGAGGAAGCCAGACGAAGCTATTATGCTACATGATGCTCTTTTCATTGTTTGTTTTTTTTGTAATATACTGGATTATTAAACTGAGGTGATGCATTTTTACCTTCAGTTTAAATTGTGTAATTTCAGCTATAAAGCAGTCTTAATTAATGAAGACATTGATCTAAAAGTGGTGTATTATGTTGATAAAACACAGTGAAATTGTTGTAAATTGCATTAACTGTTAATGCAGTGTTATAGAAAACTTTCTTAATGTATCAGAATTTTTCCCATCATCCCCTGTTTTGGGGGGATTATTTGTAAATATGCAGAAACTGCTAGCATAGTAGGTTACTTTTTTAGGGGAGAATAGTTTTTAGAACTGATTTTAAAAAATACAGAAAGCAGCGGTTCTTCGCATATGAAGTAATTGCAGAATTACAAGGCTTTCTCTTTCATTATCCTTTTCATTCTGGACCATGCTCTAAATTAGAGCTCCTGTTTCAGGCATATAGTAATTTACAAGTTGCAAAAGCATGAAGAATACTTGGATCTTTCTAAATTGGTTTTATCTGGGGATTTGTAAAAGACTGAAGCTAACAAATGTAATAGTGGTACCCCCAAAAATTATTATTGTGGCTAGGCCTGATAGTGTATGTGTTTTAAGCAGCTAAAATTGTGTGTTCTGGAGAGAACTTACTTAAAACTGGATTTTTTTTTTTTTTTAATTTAAATGTCACAAATCATGCTTATACATCTACTCCTTTTAAGCACATGCCTTTGATCATAGGATCAATCAGTATGGACACAATACAAACATTTTCTTTATATTTAAAGTATTTACTACTTAATGATTCCATTGAATCACTGGAACTTTTACCATTAGTATGTTTACTTTTCAGTCTGTGATGATTCCTAAATCTACACTGCATGATATCTGAAATAAAAGATCAGATATTTTGAATTTTATATTAAAGTATATTATGATGCACCTGTTGGAGGTGCTGTCTTATTAAGGTTTTTTATTTTGAAGACTTAACTTTGGCTCACCAAATAGTTTCTAATAGTTGAAGCTATTACAGTGCTGAGTTTAACATTCAAAAAGTTAAGTTTCCTAGATATTGAAATTGTATCTACAATTTTTGAAAAACTTTTCTAGAAATACTGTATAACGTGTTGCCATTAATTACAAACTGAGAAATAAAAGTGTCCTGTAGTGTCCTAGCTAGTGTTGTTTATATACATTCTTTTCTACTGTAGAATACCAATGTATTTTTTGGAAATAATCCTGCATTTAGGGCACTATAGTTGTGTGGGGAGCAGTATTAAAATAAGAAATGGAGGTGTATGCTGCATTTCTTTCATGTTAGATTTCATATATAACAGAAGTGTGACATGTACATCACTTACCTAATACAAAACACATAGTATGTGTAAAAGGAATGAACTCAGATATTTCTAGCCAATTTAATCTTTGACTATTAAAAGGTCTACTATACTTCTACAAAGAACAAAACATCTAAGTACTAACACCAGGATAAGGCATCGTCTTTATAGAGAGAGTTGCTAGGCTTGTTAAACAAGTATAGCATTCCCAGAGCTAGTCAGTAGGATATAGTTTGCTATCCAAAATTGATGCACTTGTGTAATTTTAATGAGACAGTGGAGTGCAAGGTACCTAACAAGTGAGATGAGAATTACTGACATTGCCTGTTTGACAACCACATTTCCCTGATAGTTGATCATCTTCTAGAAATATTTCTGGCTCTTAAACATGGTGTCTGAACAATTTCTAGGCTTTTTAAAAAATTATTTTTGGCAAGCAATTTTCCTTAACTAAGTTTTTAACTACCTATGTAAAATAGGGAAATGGGTGAATGCAGCTAGTTACATGGCTGATAGATTTCCTGTGCTTGTTCTGAAATATATGCTAGGGAGTCCCTTAAGTCCTGACAGCACACACTTGTATAAGATTTTTACCAGTCCTTCAGATCATGTATAAAACCGACAGGATTTTAAATATCAAACCAGACTAAAAGGCAATTGATGCAGAATAGAAACTAGGTCTTCCTTCTCCCCATCCCCAGTTCTTTAGTGGTGCAGAGGAGTGAGGGGAAATGAATTGGGGGGTGCAGAGGGAATCTTAAGCCTATGTCATCCTTTCTATGTTTCTTCATTTAAGGAGGGTCATCAATGTTTTTTGTAGTTTTCTAGATAGGAGAGCAGAAAGCTTAAGCACAAGGAATATATGAAGCCTCCAAGCAACTTTCTACATCTCTGTGTTTATTAGAAAACATGCAAGGGCTTTTTAATATAAGTGCTAAACCACAACTCTTGTTAAGCTCTTTTAACATGAACTTTATGAATTGAGATAACTGAAAGTTATGTAGTCAAAACTGACATTTCTGTATGTTTTTGTTACTTTACTTATGGAGCAAGTACAGGATGTAACATGTTTCCCTTTCTTCACTTCCAGTAAAAGGTCAATTTTCAGTTTAAAATCTGAACTGAAATGCTGCAAGTTTGCTTAGAATGGTTATGGCGACTTAACGTAAAGGTGAAACTTCTTTGAGAGTATTTCAGTCAGGAAGGGAAATGTCAATTGGTGGGAACCATGCATTGCAGCCTTAGAATTTTCCTCAGCATCTGCACTTGCTTTACTGGTTATTTTCTGGTAGAAAAGTATTACTCTGACAGTCCTTAAAATTCACAAATAGCAAGATTTCAGGATGCTATAGTATGATCTTATAGAATAAAACACACTACACAGTAGATATGATACAACAATACTAGTAGCATTTAATTGTACTTTCACGAAGTTGCGGTAACAGCAGCTGCATAGGAATACTGCAGTTGTTTATTTTTGGTTTTGAAATCTTGTACATTTTTTTTACACAGTATTTATATATTGTGTTTCTCAATATAACTTAGACTCTACCTGGCAACCATACAGATTATTTCCAGGTGGAAGAAAATACAATCTTTTAACTATCAAAACTGTTAACCTTACAGCATCCTGGAGATTCCTTAGAAAATGCTTAACATGTCCATTTCGTTACTAGGAAAATCCCACTGAATATTTTTTTTGCAATAAGGCAGGTTGTCTCTTCTGACTTAAATGGCTGCTTTAGGAAGAGGTGCTGATGTAGGTTTTGAAGGTATGGCTGATATACAAGTAAAAAGAATAAGATTTAAAAAAGATCAGATTAAGAATTTATGCTTCTCATAGCAGATGTGTATTCAGTGAGACTTTTTGTGTAACAAATCACAGTAATTTTGAAAATACTTTGAATGCATTTCTGCTCTCAGGTGACTGTGGCATATAACAGAAATTGTACCATCTCATTTAAGTACTAACACAATTTTCATATTAACATGTTTTTTTTTAAATATTTTTCTTTAATATTTACACACGAAACGATGCCTTGCTGCTGGCCTCCAGAAGCTTCAGATACAGTTAAACAGTTGTTTGTAGAATTCTAAACCTAAAAATCAACCCCCTACTCCTACCACCAACCATCAATGACAGTGTAGTACAAGTCGATGTGAACTTGACAAAGATGACAGAGCTTATTTTTATGGTTACTTGCTAAAATTGAAAGATAGAGAAGGTATTTGTAGTTGAAAGCAAAACCACTGTCCAGTATTTGAATATGCCAGGGAACAATTTGTGGCATAATTACTGATTTGAAAGCAAAGTTACACTGAAATTAGGTTAGGCTACTAGTGAATCATAGCTATATCCATAGGGAAGTTATATTTCTTAATTGGTGGCTTAGATGCTCCAAAATGTAGATCCACCTTGATTAAAGAAGACATTTTTTCTGAAGTGTTAAGTGTGGAATCACTAGACCCCTGAGAAAAAAAAGTAGTTGCAGGAGGCCATATGCTTTCAGACTGCTTTGTATCAACAGAAATGTGATATTGGAGAACACGTGGAATGATTATGGTCAAAGAAAATTATTTTTATGTTTTCTACTTACTTTACCTTTAAAACATGTACTGGATGTTACCTTCAGCATGCAGTAAAAGTCATGCTCTTCCTTGCTTAATTTTCAAGCAAGAGTGGACGTGTGTCACTGTTGCTTGCTTGGAAGTGTTTCCATGTATTTGCATATGATGGAAAGCATGATTTCATCTGTACCACCTCCTATTGACACTAATCTCAAGTCTCTGTAGGAATATAAAGAGGAGATTTAAACATTTACATCCTGTACTGATGGAACAATATAGAACTACATACCCATTTATTCTATGCATTTACTCTAGAGCTGCTTTTATTACATTGAAGCCCCTTATTTACAGAAGTGTATTAATGCTGTGGACAGATGTTTTGTCAGCAGTGTAAATACCCTTTTGCATACAGGGATGTTGCTAATTCAAAATCAAAAGGCTTAAAATATGATTTGGCACGTCCAATTTTCAGATTGTTCCAAAAAAATAGCCTTAACTTGGCATAACACTATTTTCATCTTGGAGTAAGTTAAAACCTCTCCTAGCATGCAACTGCTCCTGCTTAAGCCCAGCCAGGCCTCCTGCAGCTGAACTCCATACGAACTTCTGTTTAGGTCTTACCACATAAAGCATCACAGGCTCTTCCCAGGTTTCCTGCTGGACTGCCTGCTCAGAGTACCTACACACTACATACTAATGCCAGTTGTCTGCAGAACACCTCATCCACTGCCTCCTCCTGCTGAGATGGTCTGCAGCACTTCCCACAACATCCCTGCTGTTCCTTTGCCAAAGCTGTAGGTGCCTAAGCCTGCAGTTGAATTTTAGGAGGGGAGGGAACTTTTGGAGGGCCAGCAGCAAAAGTGTTGCAGCACTTTGCTTAACTGTGTGTAAAAAGTCAATCAGTACATGAGGCATTGGAGAACTGCACAGAGAAGGTAAAATTTTCATTCCGGTTTTTTAACCAACAAGCATGCTGGTCTCCCTAATGGCTATGTGAGATCTGGCATAATCTGTACGAGTATTATATAGTAGCAATATAGTATGGTATTAGTATTCTAGGAAATTACAGTATTACATAGTATATAAAGCTTCCCTGCTTTAAAAAAATAAATGGCTGCTCTAAGCTTATTTACTTTTGCTTTGATATTTCTAATCACACTCATTTAAAAATTGACATTAATATCACTGAGTCATCCCTAACAGTATTGCTTAAGTTCCCTGTGCTAGCCAGACTGTGAACTACAGCAGCCTTAAGCAATTTTCTTCACAAATCTCTCTTCTTTGGAGAGAATAAAAAAATCCCCAAACACTGAAACAGTTCTGCTAAACTACCTCTACTTAATTAAATCACCTGAAGATTCCCCACCTTCCTATAGGTCTTGGTGAAGGCAACAGAGCTGGAACAATGCTAGGGTACTTGTTTTTCATACTGCTGTGCTGTCTGCTTTTTCAAGCTGCAGAAAGCCCTTGCCAGGGTTTAGCACCTTGCATCTTCAGAGAACTGTAGCAATAGTAAGTAATTAATCCTCAGAACTCCTCTGTGATGCTGATAAAAATTCATTTGCAGCAGGAGTCCTGGACGCACGTGGCTCATTTATATGAAGTTATAAATAGGCAGTGGTTTGGTGGTGACAGACATGTCAAGTTATCACATATAAATACATGTTTTAAAAAAGCAAACCACATTTCACGTGTGTATGTGTGTGTGTGTATGTATATGTATATGTATGTGTCTTTACAAAATTATCGGTGATTATATTTTTGTCTGTGGGTGAGATAAGGAATATTTCCTCTAAAATCTACAGGAAAGTGACTAATGCTGATCTCTTCCCTGAGGAGACAGGACAGAAGGTTTCACCTAGTTTAGAAGGGTTGAGATGACAAAGGGCTCAAATTATTTTAATCTAGCAGCCCTCTTCTTGGAAAGAGACTTGCTTTCAGCATAAGAAAACAAAACCACAGGACTAACTATCCTGCCATGAACTCTGCGAGGAAGTTGGGGAATATGACAAAGTGAGCTTGTGTAGCAGCTATTTATTGTAAGTTTATGGTCTGATAGTTTGTATATACCAATAATGCATTATTGATACAGCATATAAATAATTTATATAAATATTATAATTTTATTGCCTTAGGTAGGCTACCCCTGGAATGCTTTGATCTGGCACACAACACTTTCTGATTTCTCCATTGCCTTGTTGCTGCCCCCATGACAGAACAGCACGTCCTGCACTACCTGCAGCCCTGCTGATCTGAGCACCAACCCGTGACAGCTTCACCCTGACCAAGGACAGTGAGGCACCAGCCTGCAACACGCCATACAGTTATGTAAAGGTGTCATTTTGAGGGAGCAAACCTCTAGCTGCTTGTTGAATGCTGTTTTCCTTAGAGATAGGGAGTTTCCCTGAGGAAAGAGAGAAATCCTGACCATTGTGTTCTGCCCCCCTAAAACACTCCCAGCAAAGAGTTTTCTCTCAGGAATGAAACATCTACTGCAGATGGTAAGACTTATTCCACTCAACCAAATCAAGAGATGTAAATGTTAAAAAACAATCCACTTTGACAGATTTAAAAAAGAAAAATTTCTTCAATGCTGAGTTAAAAAACTGTACTTATGAGGGAGGGTGGGAAGGGCTTCCCACCCATCCAACTCAATCAAGATTATCAATAATTTCTAGTTAGGCAGCAAAAGGAACAAAAAGGACCCTCCATGTCATCAAATCAAGTTTCCATCTCCATAGGTCCCATGTCATATAAACTTCTTCAGAAATTTATCAAGCATTGCTTTAAGGAGAAAAAACAAGCTCCCTTTAACAAAATTGTTCAAATGATTAGGAACCCTCTAATTTACAGCCTGGATGTGTTCCTGAGTAGTATAATCCTGCATAGTCCTTTAGTTTAACATTCCTCTTTTGGCTGGTGTTGATCCCTCTGTATCCAGAGCACCATTCAGCCCTTGTTTCACACAAGCCAAGCCGTGTCCATCACCCTACCTGTAAACTTTTGGTCCCATTTATCCTGACAATCCGGTCTGGTCCTTGCTTCAGTCTGAGCTCTCTCTTGTGTGTGATTTCACTAGCCATGAAGTAGGGACAAGTACTTATCTCAGTGTAAGGAAAGCTTTTGACCTTGTAACGTGTTATATGGGTGCTAAGGCCACAGCTGATGGCACACCAGATCTGCTTCTAGCCTCAAGCTCATAAAATGTGATGGTGTTTGCAGTTGTGCATCCCACTGCCATTTACTACCTGCAGCCAAGGAGTCGTACCTGCTCAGGGAGCCGATCTACACTGCATTTTCCTCTTGAAAGCCGTATGGCATTGGCATCTAAAAAACCCCTTTCTGTTCATAGACACCCTGAAAGGAGTCTGCTGTGCTATCTATCTTCATATAACTTTAAAGTCCTGAGAAAATAAACAGTCATTTTTCTTTCCCTTTTCTGGCAGTGAACAGTGCTAGTCAGATGTGGGGAAGAAAGCAAGTTTTCGTGACCCCAGTTCTGGTTTTCCCTAGCAGCCTGGCTTCATGGCAGGAGCCCCTCAGAGATGCTGCTCCCTTCTTCCTTGGTTAGGAGGTCATTTATGTGGCTCAGAGCATCACTGCTTCATAGAAGGCCATTTACATGCTGCTTTCAGCACAAATTGCACTTGATTACAAAACATTTACCCTTTTTTCTCACAATTACTATTTTAAAGTTGTATTACTGGCAAGATTTTTCTCCACAAAATATATTAATGTAGACTCAAGTTTAATATTTTGTGACTTCTTCCATCTTCAGACTCGGCTAGATTGCTTATAGGCTGTCCAAATTCAGCAGCATCTAAAGAAGACTTTGATCCAGAGGGAGAGTTTGAGGTGATACCCCACAGCACAGCAGGACAATGGCTGTGCCTGCCAGTTCACGTGGTCTTGCCCATTTCCCCTAAGGGGCATTCTGAAGGGACAGCTGAGCAGGAAGGGGCATCACCTTGGCCTGCTCTGGAGTGTAGATCTGCTTTAAAGTCACCACTGTACAGTTATCTACTTCAATTTGCTGTATTAGAGCTAGATGTCCTGTGCTTTATCTCCTAAATTCCCTCTCAAGATACTTATAAAAGTCAGCCAAAGTGGTAGACAGGCATCTGTCTTGACACCTCTGCAGAAAAAGGTTGAAACTACAGATTTGTTTTCACAGATGACTGATGAATCGTTATTAAGTCTTGTCTCAACAGTTAGCTACTGACTTCAGAGCAAATTGGTTTTGTCAGCAGAAATTGATAGGTTTTGTTTCATTTGGTACAACCATAAATTGTGATAATGACAAAGACTGATTAAAAAAAGAATCAACTGTCTAGACTCATTCTAGTTTAGACATGCTTTGTAAAGAATTAAAGAATATAAAAAATGAAATGAATGAAACAATATTTCAACTGACTTTTTAAACGTGAAAAATAAAAAAAATAATTTAGAAGGAAATGCATTACTTATTAAAAAAAAATCCACTTAAAACTATATAGAAGTTTGATTTTTAACTATCCTGAATTACAAATAAAACTTCATATTGCAATACCTAGGTGACAGTTGAGGGAGAAAAAGAAATCTGTTTTTCTTCTGCAGTCACATGCATCTGCAATGCTGTTTGCACTTTATCTATTTCACATGAGTAGTCGATATTTTTCACTGCCACTTTCTCGAGTCTTTCACAATGCAGCAAGTAAAGAAATGATACAGCATTCTCCTCACCATACCCCCACAAGACTAAAGCTTGTAAGAACTAGCAGCAGTTAGACAGTGTTTAGTACTTAGAAACAATCTTAATTTAAAAAAAATCCAACAAACTTTTTTAAGAAGGCCAGACAAGCTCTTCCTATAACAACTGAAGTGTGCATAATCACTATTAAAATACATAGAGCACTACCTGAAATTTTTTAAAACTCATGTTTTGAAGTCTGTAAAATTGCAATATACTCTCTACAAAAAGTTTTCCTCTCTCTGATCTCTCACAGCCTCAGGTTTTCATATAGGTTGTGGGTTTGTTCAATGATTGATTTTTCCTAAGTCATGATGTCTTTGAGGCATTTCATACAGGTGAGAGAAAAATAAACACAATTCCAGTCTGGCAGTCTCCTCCAGAATCCCCCAAGTAGGGTAAAGTCTGGAAAGTCTACTCTTACTGGGTTTTTTTATATTGTCTTGTATTTTTTCATTAAACCCTTTGGGCTCAAAAGTTTTTTTCAAACCCATTCTCCTCAGAATCCCTACAACAGAAAATGAGACATTTACGTATATAAAATCAGGCAGTAAAGGCACCTACGTGGCAAAACAGCTATCTTTACGCCTTCTAGAGAATAGTGCACTTCAGAAAAGTCAGTTGTTGTTCAAAGTTTAAAACACTAATGATTAAAATGACAGATATGAACAAAGTCATGTGGCAGACAGTTTTGTGCCGGGCCTGTTTATTATCTCCCCACCAACATTAACAACTAAAATTCAAAGACTTCATGCACTAACCGTGCATTGTGCTGTGTGCTCTTTTGAGGAGTAACAGCCTGACGTGTCAAAGATTAACATTTCCTTGGAAACTTGGTAAGGATTATTCTACAAAAATCTGTACATTATGACTAGATGTCATGCTGTGCGGTTATGCTCTTTGCTACTTGACAAATATCACAGTGACGTGAATGGTTACTCAGACAGCTGTACAAAAACAACGGCTTTAGGAAAGTTACGGCTTTGCTTATCGTTACAGATTAAAAAAAGTCTGACTTGAACCTGTAATTGTTTATTTAGATAATACTCTACTTCTCTCTTCTTCTCCCTTTCTGGAGCTTATGGTTACTCAGTGATGGAATTAGTTGATTCATAGAATATTTTAGAGTATAGATACCACGCCACCTTTAGCCCCATCTACAACAGTGTGTTTTAGAGTCAGAACGATATGTTTCTTCAGCCAGCTGACACAGTTTATACAAATAGGAAATACTCTGAATTTCTCAGGAAAAATGTGACTGTGCTGGTGTACTTAGAAACCACTCACATTTACACAGAAAAGCCCTGCCCACAGTTAGCAATAATATACTGGGTTAGGAAATCTAAAGACTTATAAAGCTATATAAAAGCACATATATACGTTAACCTGTACACATTACTACTTTGACAGTAAGCACTTCAAGACAAGGATTCGTTTTATCCAGAGTGCCTACTGCAGTAGCTTTTAATATGTGCATCACCAGGGACCATTAGCTGCTAATAAAGAGGCTGTGAAAAAAGTAACTAAGAAAACCCCACATATTGATAGCTGGCTTAAAACCGCCACCATACAGCAGTCTGTACCTTCACCAGAAAATGTCAGGAATCCACAAGTTAAAAAAGGTTGAGAACCAGTCTGATTTACCACAATGACATTATTGGTCATAAAACGCTATTAAAAACAGAAAAAGTAATTCAACCTACCAAAAAGAAACAAGTATTTTACAGATTTTTTTTTTTTTTTTGAAGTGTTCGACTCTCAGTTTACACACATACATTTATGAAAACATGTAACTAACAGAACCACTAGCTGATTCTGCTAACCATTGATTAGGTATTGTATATATACGGGCTGAACTGAAATCCACTCCTGCAAGAAAATGCAAATTCCATTTTGGTCCTTCTACAGAATATAAGACAACTGGGCCAGGATTTTCCTAACAGTTGCCAAGAAACCTGTTTGCTTAGAGATAATTTTGCTCTAAGATATATGGTAAAATCTGAAGGGATTTTAATTAGTTTGCAGAAAGGCCTGTGTACCCTTTTAATGATCTAACAACTAGCTGGAAGCAGCTGCATCTCTCATATGTCTCACACAGTATCTGGTGTGACTAATCAGGTGGAGACTGCTACCAGAAAAGACTATTGCAGGAGCCTAATGGTGAACTCCAGTTTCATACATAGATTTGGGGAAAAAGATAAAGCTGATTTGCATTGGTCTTGGAAGAAAGCTTCCGTTTCGGTTTAGTTCTGTTCTTGTAATCAAGATTACAAGCAAACAAAGAGCAAAGAGAAAAAAATATCACTTGGTAGGCTTCCCCTTTTTTTTCCTTGTCCTGGCAGGTACCAGTGGACCATCAGGGAGACATGGAGTTTACTTCTTTCACCTGACATTCAAGCTAACCTGTGGGTAGTTCAAACTACTCAGTTGTAGCACAAGATTTGACAAAGGAACAGTCAGTCAGTCTACATCCTGACACTTCCACATGTCACCCCAAAGTCAAGAGGACTGTGGATGTCCTTGCATCCACAAGGTACATCAGTGACATGCCATTCAGTGGAACAATACCATTCACACCAGCTAGCAGCTGCTGCGTTTTTAATTGGGTGATCCTTTAGTGGGGCATTTAAGAGACCAAACTTCAGTAAAGCCATTTCCTACTTTCACCACTCGCTTGCTTACCTGTAAAACCTGCTCACCAAAACCTCGCTGGTGAATCCCATTCCCCCCCAAAACTGGAGACAGCTGTCAGTCACTTCACGGGCCAGACGACCTGCCTTTAGCTTAGTCATGGAAGCAAATTTTGTCACATCGTTGCCTTCCACATAGAGAGCTAAAAAAATAAATTAAAAAAAGCAGATACACACACACAGAGTCACTGATCACAGCCTGCCTCTCTGGCAAGCACCTCCCCATATTCCTTTAGCCTGACAATGTTCTTTGCACAAAGAGAAGCACATCTGGGAAGGCAGATGTGGGAGCTCACCAACAGTGCGGTACAGCAGCGCGCGAAGGAGCTCCACTTCGGTTGCCAGCTCAGCCAGACGGAAGTGCACGGCTTGATTGTGCAAGACAGACTGGTCAAACACTTTCCGTTGGCGAGTGTAGTCAATAGTTTCTTGTATTATTGTTTCCAGAGATGTCAGGACTTAAACAAGGAAAGCACAGAACAAGACATCATTTTAGCCAAATCTGTTGTTTTTGTTGAAAAAGATGGTTTTTTTTCACATTGTACAAACTATATAATAGGTTTTCTAAAGTGAATTATTCCATACGCTCAGTTTGGGGTGCAGTTTCAATTCTAAAAGAAGTCTGGTGTTTCCTTGTACCTTGAAGACCTCTTTATCCCTATTTCACCCAAGCCCCAAACTGCCAGAACTTGGAGGAGAATGAAGGGGCAGGAGAAGGAGGGGAGGCAAATCATAAAGAGCCATATGTAAACTTTGTCCCTAGTGCCTCATTTGGGGCCCTAGCAAAAGCCTGTGGCAACTCTTGCTTTCCATGATACCTGTGTCCTGAAGGTCTGTTACAATCCCAAAAGAAAATCTGAAGGCAGACAGTGTGCTCACTGAGGAATGCTGTAGAAATGTAAATTGAAGGAAGCTTTCAGGGGGGAGGAAGAAACCTATTCAGAGATCAAGGAAGAGGAACAGACTGCTTACTACATCTGCATTCTGTGATTGGAACCCAGTATAGAAAGGAAGGGAAAAACATTAAGCCTCACAGCCACTTTTAGTAAATGCTAAACAGTGCTTCTAACAGAAACAAAATCAGATTAGGATACTGATAGAAGATAGGTGAGAGAGGTGGCAGACACTGCTTTAAAGCAAGAGAATTAGTTCTCTGCTACTTTTTGAGCAATCTCAGAGACACCTTGTTTTAAAGAAGAACAGGGAAATGTTTCTTTTCCAAGGCAATCCAGTGGTGAAGGGCTAGGCTATCAGTATTCTGCAGCTTAGCTAAGCTAACAGCAGGTGCTGAATTTGTGGAGAATTTTGTTTGGCATATGTGGACCCATGTCGCTGTGGCAAGCAGTAGGGAGAGTGAGAGAGTTCACAAGTCCATCTGTATGAGAAGGGTCACATCTTCTCTCTTCAAAATATGCATATCTACATCTATTTATATTTAGAATCTAAACCACAAAACTCTGAATCTGAAATGCAAAATATAACCAAGCCCTGGACTACTACAAAATCTCTTTTCACACCTACCAGTTACTCATGTGACAGTTCCTTTACAGGAGCTTGGTGTGCTTTCATATTCCTTTTTGTGTCACTTTCAAGATGACCTCTATTTAACCTTCATCCCTATACTGCTCTCATATGCAGGCTCTGCATCCCACCAACTGCCCCCTGCCATGACTGTTCACCAGCTCTTCCACAGAGCGTTATTTTTCACATGCTGTCCCCACATTCTGTAAGGTCATCACCTTTTCTCATTCCTTATTTTCCCCTCCTTTCTCAAACAACTAGCCTCAATGCTTATTTTTCAAAAGGGCATATACAATAATGTCCTCGTTTCTTCTGTGTTAATAAGTATGCTGCCACCCTAATGCTGGTTTTCTGGACAGGAAAATAAATTGCTGTTTTCAGGGACATCTCTTGTACACAGGAAGATCCCTGTTCTTTCAGAGGCCCATGTAACCTGACACTATAGCATGTGTAATGCTAACAGCTTTTTCACCTGTATGTCTCCTGTCTGCAGCTTGAGAGATGCTAAAAAGCAAGAAACAAGTGTCTAGGCATGTCTCATCCTTTGCCGACTGAGTTGCTGGGAGGAAAACTAAACAGTGCATGCCAGTACTAGGAGAGCAGAAAGGAGTTGGGAGGGATAAGGACAAGGGGCTAGTCTTGTGTTGGTCTGTCAGAGCAAGGTGCTCCAGCACAGCTTGTATGGTTCCCAGCATCCAGCACCAGGGAAAGAAGAGATGGGACACAGCAGAGAGGAGGCAAGGAGCAGGACCAAGTGGGAAGGAACAGAACGGCACTTATTCAGGTCCTGCTTGCAAAAGGGCTGAAGATCTTAAAAGGGTTTTGGCCCATCTCTGCTCAGGCTGTCACCACACATCAGGGCTGTGAGTGGGGGTCCTGAGAAAGCTGCTCTCACAGTGTCCACCTCTCTGCTTCACTGTCTCCTTCCTGCCCCAGCTGATCCATCCTTCTGTTTCCTTAGCCACCATCACAGCCCTTCTGCTTATTCCTGGAACTGCTGTTTGTACACAGAAAGAGAAAATCTTCTCAGGACTGTTCTGGGCTGCATCGAAAGAAGCATGGCTGGCAGGCTGAGGGAGGTGATTCTCCCCCTCTGCTCTGGTGAGACTCCACCTGGAGTACTGCATCCAGCTCTGGAGCCCACAGTACAAAAAAGACATTGACCTGCTGGAGCAGGTACAGAAGAGGGCCACAGAAATGGTCAGAGGGCTAGAACACCTCTCCTCTGAAGAAAGGATGAGAGAGTTCTTCAGCCTGGAGAAGAGAAGGCTCCAGAAAGACTTTGTTGAGGCCCTTCAATACTTAAAGGGGGCTTATGAGAAAGATGGAGAGAGACTTTTTACAAGAGCCTGTAGCGAAAGGACAAGGGGCACAGGTTTTAAACTGAAAAAGGGTAGATTTAGATTGAACATAAGGAAGAATGTTTTGGGGTTGGAACTTGATGATCTTTAAGGTCCTTTCCAACTCAAACCATTCTGTGATGCTATGACTACAGGTAATCAGAGCTATGAGCATGGCGAAGCTTAGCTGTCCAGCAAACAGCCACAAAATGCAGCATGTCTTGTACAACATAATAGCACACAATACTTTGCCAGTCACAGAAGTACAGGGAAATGCTGCTCTTAACAGTGAAATTAATTTTCCCTCTGAACTTTATTTTTCCTCTGGTATATTTGTTTCCTCTTTTGTCATACAATGTTCTCCACATCCTCGGACAAACGGCCCCAGAGGTTTCAGCTGACGGCACATGCAGGAAATGTAACTCTAGGGCAGCCTAAGGAACATATGGTCTACCTCACAGCCAAGAATTGTGAAAGCACTTGAAGTGACCAGATGCAGAATAATCTTCTCCTTGCACCTCCATGCAACTTACATTTTTCCACTTGAAAGTTCTATTCACTGTAAACACACTTTGCCTTGCTATGTCTCCTCTCAAAACAAAAGGAAATTAATGTAGTTTTCTTAGGTTGTGGCTGATCACTCTCTAGTGAGATATACAGTGAACTCCAAGCTGAGCAATCTGTCTCCTAAGGATGTGCGTTGCCCATGCAAAAGGATCTGTCATCCTGATTACCGGTCATGACTCAATGGTGCTCATAAAACTGAGACTACAGATAGAAGTCATTAGAAAAGTGTCATTCCGCTCTCTCACATACATTGAACTCCCTCTTTGCCTCTAAGTTAAGCAATTCACAAAAAATATGGTTGCCTTAGCAACATTCTTTTCCCATGATCAGTGCAACAGGTCCACAAATGGACTGTGTGTACGGCGTGTCACAACATGGGTGAGATATGTAGCAGCTCTTCTCTTTCAATGAAGCAAGAAACAGAGTGACTTTTACCAATGCCTTTGATAACATGTCACTCAGAAGAAAAGACCACACCTGTGACCAAATTTTGCAATTCCTGGAAATTAGTTTTCTATTTATGTTTTAAATCTGACTGAAAATTCCTTTAAAAAAACCCCATGAAGGTGAGGCAGGAAGGAAACTCATTCTGAAATCTGGCCACAAGGAAGATAATAAATAAACAAAGAGAAGGCTGGAGCACGTGATATTTGTTAATAAATAAAAAACAAAACCAAAGTCTCCAAACATCAACAAAACAAAACAATGCCCAAAAAGAAAAGAATGGCAGTCAACTGCCTCTTCCAAGTTTTAGGAAGCAGTGAAAGTGAGAATGCAAGGACTGGTCCCTAAAGTGTTTAAAAGCAAACTGATGATTTTCAATGTCACATGAATAGTCATGAACTGAGAAGGAACAGTAATGTCCTTCTGAGGTCCAGAAGTGAGGTCTAGAATTACACATGCAGACCTAATCACAAAACTACTGAAGGCATGTGTGTAGTTTTGCACATCTGAGCCTTCAGCAAAACACTCGTGTTTCAACATACGTAAGACCATTTGCAGGACTGGAAGTTAACAGCTAGATGTCGTGGTGTAGCAAACTGCATCCATCAAGCACCTGGCTCCCTTCTGAACATCAGTTACTCTTTTCTTTTGTTTATCACAACTGGTTACCTCTGAAGTTTGCAACTTGGCCCAAACCATGGGTCTTGTCCCAGCTCCCAGGGCTTCCATGCATTTTATATCAGATAGTGGATAAAAGCAAAACCAGGGGCCCCAGCAAGGTATAACATATGCCACTGTGCTGCAGGAGGCAGCTCCCTCTCCCTTGGTGACCTCCAAGGCTCTTCCTCCCTGATGGCCCCTGCCTGGCCACGGTGGGGGGAGTGAAGGTGCCCTTCCCAATCTGCTCATCCAGGGCGAGGGTTTGCCTGCTCCCGCTGTGTTGACCTGGGCAACAAGAAGAATTGAAACCTGGTGTCCCACTTCCTGGCAGAGCACGGTGACTGCCAGGCAGTTGTGCAAGGCTGGACTGTACCAAGCTGCCAGTGGTTTTAACAGGAGTGATCTAACCTGTCAGGCTTTGTGTTTTGATGCTGTCAGTGCGCGTCACTTTTGCCTGGGGCATGAGTAATGCCTGGGCTACTCTGCTGCCTGGGAAGTATCACTGCAACCCAGTTTCTCAATGTTTAATTTAGATTTCAAACTGAGCATAAAAATGCACAGTGCACATCCTTGCAGTCTGTGTACACCTCAGTTAAAGCAGGACCAGTAGTAGGACCATGTCTCCTCCTTGCCTGAGTCTGCAGTGGCAAATTTAATCTTGCAAATTTAATCTGTTCTTTGCTAAAACTGCTCACATTTACTATTTATCTCTGGCTGAACTAAGAATTTTGCCCCAACCCAAAGATTTTTTAAAGCATCTGAACTCCAGAATATTTGGTCTGTGATCAACCCACAACAGGGAGTGATTTTTATTTGGTCACTGAATCAGAAAATCGCTTCTTAAGAGTTCCCGATCCCCTAGCCACACACAGACAGTAAGAGACAGGGTATGCACTGAAGCACGAATGTGGTAAGATTATTTATGCAACCCTAAAATTTAAAAAAGAGCAATCTTCTTACAGTGAACCACATTATATTTAAGTTGAAGAAGCAAACACTGTGGGGTGGGGGGAAAGGCTGGGAGGCTGAAAATCCAGACTTTTGGTTACCTGGAATATCCATAATCCCTGTAACTCAAATATGCGGATTCGAGTATGGCCTGAGTTCAGAGTGACAAGAACTGTGTGACAGCATAACTTCAGGGAAGGGAATTCAGTGCTGTACCACTTATGTCCAAAGTGTACAGAGGTAAAACAGATCTGCAAAACAAAGCTCTTGCATCCTGTAAGAGCCACTACTTACACAGCCACTAAGTTAATTTTCTAAAATCTAGGATAAACATCATAGTTGACTACTACAGGAAAAGTCACTGTCCTTCTACTTCATGCCAGTATTTTGATAGCCTTTGTACTGTATGTGTAGCAGACATAACATGATACTGTATTTTCTTATCAGCGGAAAAGCACCAAGAAAAAGAAACAAGGCAAAACCAGCCTCTGTGATGCCTCACAAAATAGTTTCTATTTCAAGTTTTCCTACAGAAAGGGAAGGTTGTCTGTATCCAGACTCTGACAGATTTCAAAACAGTTCGTAAGAGGTTATTGCAATTTACAATAAAAGGAAAGTGCTGTTAGTCACGCGAAGGGTGACCCTTATGTCCCTGCCCAGCCCCAGAAGCACAAATGATGACTTACCAGTGGCTGCTCCCCACAGCCGCTCTTCTTGGAATTGCAACATCTGATATGTAAAACCCTTTCCTTCCTCACCGATGAGGTTTTTGCTGGGGACCCTTACGTCTTCAAAAAAGATCTGAGCTGTGTCCGATGACCTCATGCCTAGTTTGTCTATCTTTTTAGCAACGTGAATGCCTGAAGAAAAAGAGGTATTAGAAAGGCCACAAAAAATAGAAGCACTACGTACAAGTACAGCATTTTAAGAAAGCAAAGTTTGCAGATGTGAAAGTATGTGCCAAGATTACAGTGAAACCTGCCTTTAGGAAAAACATAATCATACTGTGGAATTTAAGAGTAAAAGGGTTCATATCCTATTTTTAAGAGTTTTTCCATTTTATTTAACTAGCAAATCAGAAACTGCAATTGTAAAGGTCCCGCTTTTCATTATGTCCCCAAATAATAATTGTGTACTAGTAGTAATAATTTTGCTTCACACATCTTGAAATAATGCAATATTTGTTTGCTTACATTTCATTTTTAGTGCAATAAAATAAAATGCTGGAATTCAATTTAGCGGTATTTGATGAGTTCCTGCACTGCTGTGAAACAGTAGAGAAATATTTAATAATGACAAAAACAAAGCTATGTTTTAAGCTGCAACTAGGGAATTTCTCCTCCTAGAAATCCTCTTCCTTCCCTCTCTTCCACACTTATCCTCCCCTGATTTTTCCTGGTACGTGTAGAAGACAGAGTTTATAAGCACACCACACCGCTTCTTCCTAATAATAAAAAGACTCAAATTTGTAACTGCTACAAACATCCAACAATTCCATATCAACTCCAAATTTTATTAAAACTATGTATGTGAGGCCACACCTTGAGTATTGTGTCCAGTTTTGGGAACCTCAATACAAGAGAGATATCGAAGTGCTGGAGTGAGGGCAATGAAGCTGGTGAAGAGCCTGGAGAACAGATCCTATGAGGAGCAACTGAAGAAGCTGCGACTGTTTAGTTTGAGAAGGCTGAGGGCAGACCTCATCACTCTCTACAACTACCTGAAAGGACATTGTAGAGAGGTTGGTGCTGGTCTCTTCTCACCAGTGTTTAGCAATAGAACAAGAGTAAATGGCTTTAAACTCCAACAGGGGAGGTTTAGACTGGACATTAGGAAATTTTTTTTTCACAGAAAAGAGTAGTCAGACAGTGGAATAGGCTGCCCAGGGAGGTGGTGGAGTCACCATTTTAAGGGTCATTTGGATGAGATGTTGGGGGATATGGTGTAGGGGAGAACTTTGTAGAATAGGGCTGATGGTTGGACTTGATGATCCCAAGGGTCTCTTCCAACCTGAATGACTCTGTGATTCTGTATTTTATGATGGCCTACAAAATACTGTTTTGTTCATAATGATCACAGTTCATTCCTCTGAGTTTTCACATGGGCATGCTTGTGAAGAGGGTTTGCTTCCCCACAGACCTCCCTACACAGCACTGACTCGGACCCCATGTTCAATGGGTTGTTGGAGATGAACCCAGTTCCTTCAGGTTTCACCACATAAGACTTGAACTACCAAGTCACACCAGGTAGATCTCCTTCCTGTTCATTTTTTTCCATCTACAAGTTCTTTCTTGCTTTTGTTCAGATGCAAGCATGGCTTCCCACTGTGCCATGAGAATTTAACAGACATCCACTGATTTTTTTGTGGCAACTCCATTGGTCTTCAGTTTTTACCTCCTTGTTTTTCTGGGGATAATGCGAATATTCAGGATGGAAGTCAAGAATGTTTCAGAGATAAACTGAAGCCAACAACCAGGTATGAGGATTTGTACAAAACATGCCAATTACATCTGCCAAGTCAATATACCTAGAAAAACAGTCCTCCAAATCAGCATGTATCTCTTTGCAGAAAACCAAACATTTTACTACCCATGTACATGGTATTCTAATCAGTTTTGTGATGAGGAGGTATTCTGGTAATATTTTCCTCTTTATTCTATTGTTTTCTTCAATCCTCTAATACTCTCTACAGCGGCTTAGTAGGAGTTGGTCACCACACAGATTGTTGTGGTCCCTCTCAGTACTTGCCTGTACCTTGCTATACTTCATGTCTTTCAGTGAACATCTCTTTCTGAAGTAATACAGACATCTCAACTTCTACTGACAGGAGGCCTTCAGCCATATGAAAATTACTTTGGTTTTGCAGGCAGAAAAAGTTAGTAGTCATTCCCTCTCTCTGGATGCACTGAATAAGGTTTTGGAAAGTTTCGTCTCTCCACAGGGATGTAATACCAACACTATTTCCAAATGCCAAGACTGCCCTCAGAATCAGGTCCACACAGAATTCCACACCTTCCACTCAAGATTTTTCTCCAACAACCAATCTATAAACAGATTATGTGTTAGTAATGCTTGCTTTGATATGTGTTCAACACAGGAAGAAAATAAGGACAGCTGTATAAAAACTTTTGACTCATGGATTGAAAATTATCCAGCAATTTTCACCCAGTCATACCAAAAAAGCATTTGGGGTTCGTTTCTGTATTAAAATCAGAGCTAAACAAACACATACTGAACCATTTACAGGCCCAAATGATTTCTGGAACATCTTTTGCTGTTGGAATATTACTGGCCAGTTTCTTTGAGATTCTCAGAGATCGTGTCTTCGGTCTACTTCCAGCTGGTTTTATGCAATCACTGCTCCTCATCCATATGAATATGCACTTACTGCTCTTGTTAGTAGTAGTTTACTAAGGACTCTGCTGGAAAAAGTACAACGGCTGCCAGTTCTTTATATTGCTAAATCAATCCTACTGTGCAGTTCCCCAGATCCACACACAAACTACTGAAGAAAGCTTTTACAGGTTTGGTTAGAGGAGCTAAATGTTAATGATTTCTATCTATAATTCTTCCAGACTGGGTTGCGTGTTCAAGTTTCCTGAATCTAGCAGCACCCCCCCGCCCTTGTTGTGCCTTACCAGTTTCACTTGCTCTTGATTAATTCTTGTTTCTCATTCAGGAAGAGGACCAACTGCATCAGCCTCATGTAGTGTACACCCTGTGGCTAGTACACACTTTAGATTTTCTCATTTTTGAAGACAGTGATAAATAATCTTCTCTTTGGCTACAATTTGGGCATCAAAATCTTCCTTTATGTAGTTTAATTATCTTCATTCTCTTCATAAGGGGTACCGTATACTAAAAATTACCAGCAGCAGCAGAAATCATCTGCCCAGATAACTCCTGGAGTTTGTCTGTATTAAATAAATCACAAGCCATCCAATCACACACAGATCTCAATCTAGCAAGGCCAGGTGCCTGACTTACTAAAATCACTCTATCAGCCATTTGTGCTACTTGCACCAATATCATCGAGATGGATTACTGTATCTCTTTCTGGGAAGTTCTTCCCAGGCTTTTTTAATTTTCTCCCACTCCTCCAGACTTCTGACAATCTCTTTTATTTCCTATATTCTATCCTGAGAGAAAGGCAGTCGCTTTCTCCTGACACGATTTAGTGCCATTACAAATGGAAAGAGGCACATTTCCAATTGCAATCCAACAAACATGTTCTTTCCCCTTTTCTGGATGTTGTTCTTTTTATTATCTCCTCCTTGCAATCTACCCTAGCACTGTCTGAGGACTCAGAGGAGAAACCAGCACATAGTTACCAGATTAGGGCTGCAAGTCATTTGTCTATATATCTTACACATAGACATTTTATAACTTGTTAGGTTCTCTTTCATCATATAAGAAATTCAGAGTTTTTTTAAAGACATCATTAGTATGAGGAGTATTCACCTAATTTGGATATCTACTGTGAATCCACACTGTCGTTATCCAAATTCCCTTTATGAGAAATGTATTCAACAGTGTCTGTCAAATCTAGACCATGATTTGCTTCACTCAAGAATAGAACCTGTACACAACTAAGATGAGAAGAAAAAAATCCTACTTAGTATCTTCAATAAACTACTAGTTGTTGAAGTTAATAATTTGCTTTCAGACTTGGAACTTTATTTTTTTTTTTTTTTTTTAAATCACCACATTATACAAGTATGAAACAATTAAGAGTTTTGTGAAAAATGCTGGACTAGTCTCCCATGTCCTTCCAGCTGCTAGCAAGGAATGCGTTACCACTGAGTCAAGGATCCCTTCCTTACCCTGCCATACAGGATGGTGACTACAGCAATTCATCTGACATTACACACTTGTTCTCCATGGCACTTGTTCTTGAGCTTTGACACACAGACATCTACAGACGCTTATAGTGCATCATTTGGTGATGTCCTCTAGACACTTCCTGGACAGTCTTGGTCTGCTGCCCTCCAAGGAGCACAATCTTTGGCAGACAGACATCCTTAGAATGTATCAAAACAGCTGGAGTTTCCTCCTCATATCTGTGTCAAATGGCAGCCTCTTCCCTACTTTTCCTCTTTGTGTCCTTGAAAAATCTCACTTCTGATATGACTCATCCAATGCGCACAATCAACCATCTTAATACTTCATTTCAAAAGGTCACCAATCCTGCTACAGTGACCCTTTTGGAGGTCAGTATCTGTATCACACAGAAGAATGAAAGCACATACATTCTTGTAGGAGTGCAATTTTTGTTTCTAGGAAGATTTCTACACTTCTGGAGATGAGCTTCAGGTGACTCAGGCAATTTTTCTACTCAGAATGTATTTACCACAGGTAAAGAAGGTCTGTGTATCGGCTGTGTGAACTAAACACTCCCCTCCCAAAGCTACAATGACTCACTCACATAGCAAAGTAGCTGAAAACCTCCAAGTCAATTTCTGTACATTTGATCAGCCTCTAACAGTGGGTTGGCTGCTTTGTTGTTTTTGGAGAACTGATCTCAGAGCAACAATACTGAATTTACACTCTGACCCCTTCAAGAAAAATATCACAAGGAGGACTTCATGCAGATGGCTGGTAAGTGCATTTATCTGGAAATTCAGGGAGATTATGGCTCTGAGTTGCATGTTCACTCATCACTATCAACAAGGACAAAGTCAACAACTAGTGAAACATTTCAGGTCCATCTTCTGTTATCTCTCACTCAAAGCCTGTCTTGCATGAGCAGAGGTTGTAGAAACTCAAAACACACTCAGAACTTGCTTAATTCACAAAGGAATTTACTCGCTTGACTAACTCCATACTGAAATTCATTTACAAGTAGCTCTCATCGCCCTCTTTTGCAACACTGGAGACCTGGGTTTTGTTCTCAGTCTGATCCATTAAATGAACATAAGGGCCTTCACTTTACTTGACTGCCATGGTGGTGTCCCTAATGTGTGAAATGCTGATAATGATGTATATTTTTAATGTAAATACTCTTGAATGGCATGAACCAAAATATTTTATATTAGAAAATAAATATATTAATATACGTTTACATATTATTTATAATACATGTTAATATATATCATACATTATATATTAACAAATTAATATATAATGTAATTTTTAAAAAATATTAAAATGAATGACAATCAAAAAAGGTTTAAAAGCTTTTGAACAGGTGTTAATATTGCAAAAGGTCTCTGCCAACACAATATTAACCATATCCTCTCTGAATTATGTCATTTATGCATACGGTACGCTACTGCTGCAAGGTCTGCAGACTACTCAGAACAGCCGTTATGTGAACTGCACCATGGAAATTTGTACCCTTAGATCAGGTTATGTTTCTTCAGTGTCTTCACCCAAATTACTAGTCGTCTTCAAAAACAAATCCCTACTTCTAAGATCTTTGAAGCTTTCACTCCAGCCCACATTTAACTCACAGACTATTTTTGTAATTTAAACTGATAATGATAGTAGCACCCTAGCAAAAAGATCCATTTGCAGAGCACTGCCATGAAGCACTTTGGGTATGCCTGCACTTCTTTTCAGCAAACCCACCAAGTTGGATAGTGGAGGAAGATCTGAACCATCCCCACAATACAATCACAGCACAGCATTGCATGCTTCTAGTAAGCTGGTCAGTAAATCCACCCTAACGGAGTGAGATATTGCCCATGAGCTCCTGGGAGTCACGTATTGGCATGTTGGATAAGATTGTTTGGGGAGGTGTTTCCCAAGTTTGAAATTTCTAAACTCTTTTTTCCTTTTATTTTACATTTGAGAATAACATTTAATATTTTCTGAAGAAATAAGACAGCAAGCTTAAAAATACTTCTCCATTCATTGATAAAGGAGTATATATTCTTCTCAACAGTCCTTCTACAAAACAGGAAAGAGTTTAATGTTATTTGGAAAGGCAGCTTAAGAATATTTTACACACAGTTCATATGTAGCAAAGATCTATGTAAGGAGAGTAATATGTTATTTGTTTTGCAGACTGTTTGCATCTTCATGCTGTTTGGGGACAGAAAACTAAGATAAAAGTTTTGTGGAACTGCTCCAAAACTAAAAGACATTGGATGTCTTTTAACTTAAAAAAAAATGTTGGCTTTATTTTTAACGATTTCTTTGAGGCATTAATTTTGTCCTTGGCATTGACTTGTCTATTCATTCTCAGAGAAGGTTTCGAAATACTCTCAAGAAAATGTATCTGAACAACTTTTATAAATTTATTTTTGGCAAAAAGGACTCTCCATATAAAATTATTTGGGAGTTGCAAGCTGAAGCCTGCAAAATATTTGACTTGCTTCTCGTTTCCTCTTGTCCCCTACTTCTTTGTGGAAGTTTGCAAATGCATTTCAGAACCAACCTTGTGTGACAGTGAAATGCCTAACTTAAAAGAGCATATATGGGTGCAGTCCTTTCTGTCAAATACCCTTCCTTCTTGTATTAAGCATACACAAGAACACCAATAAAATCAAATTAGAGGAGAAAGAGTTCTGTGTTGTTACCAGGTAGATTCATTGGCAGACATATGAGAGATTTATTTTGATGGCGAGGTCCTTCACTGGTGTTTGCCAGCAGGCACATCCAGTCTGCTTGGCACCCGGATGTAGTCCACATCTTACCACCATTTATGACATATTCATCGCCTTTTCTCACAGCTGTTGTCTTGATATCTATTCCAAAACATAGGAAATGAAGGGTTATTCTTGTGAAGGAGGGATAAGCTGGTCTCTGTACGACTGACAGAGTCACTCCCACCTTGCTCTCAGACAGCCATATTTGGTTCTCTCTTCTTACCTGCTACATCCTCTCACCCTTCCAGGCTGCACAAGGCAGACCCATCTGGACAAATCTTGGAAGGCAAGCCAGGGAAACCTGACCACTTTTCTCAGCTCTTCACCCCAGTGGATGAAGGCAAAAAACTTTCCCTAACTAAATTTGGTCATCAAAAACTCAGGCCAGAAACATTTCAGTCTGAGATGATCTATTACACGTTTCTGTTACTGTGCACATTAGTCACTGATGAGGCCATTAATTTCAGAGTCCTGACTTAAACAAACATAAGCCTCAATATCTGTGTATGCATAAAGACATACGTACACGCACTTCCTGCATGTTCTTGGTCAGAATGGCGTAATAAATTCAAAGCTAATAAACTTTCAAAAGGCCAAGTTTAAATGCTAAGAATGTTTGTATGTGAAGGAGTTCTAAGCACCTGCTATTTATATCCCCTGACAAAAAAAAATATCTCGTTTTCATCTGTGAGTGTTCACATCACACTGCAAGCAGCCCTAGCTGCAACAGACAGCTGGAATGAATCATTAGTTATTACATACAGTCGAGCAGAATTTCCAAAGGGTTGGCTTAATTCCCCTGCAATTGAACTTCTTCAACTAAAACCCCATCTGAGGAAGTCTCTCCAACAGGTATCTAACTATAAGCAGGTGATGGTATAACAGAACCCTTCCACACCCCCTGTAAATCTAATGAGACTATGAAGTCCACAAGAGCCCACCTACTGAGGGAGGCAGTGGACTTGGACAGTAGGAGTCAGACACCAAATGTCAGTCAGTTATACCTTCATACACACCCACCTCAGTCTGCACCTGAAAGGCTCTAAACATAAAGCAAAGCAAAACCAAGTATCTGATCTTCATTTACAAGACAAACTGGGACTGAGGTCAGCATGGCTGAAAAGTCTGGTAAATGAAGAAATGGGAAAAATGATGGGAGAAAATTGTATCAGACATAACACACGGGAATATTGGATATAACTATGGCTAAAGGAACTTACAAGCAGATAATAATGAACAAAGTACTAATGTGGATAAATAAAGAGTACTAATGTGGATAAAACCAGTAGTCAATGCCAAATCTGCCAAAACAGTAGACTATGTCAAATCTGTCCAAGGGACTTGATATTAAATCTGTATAATAATGAAGGCCAAAAAAACTGAAGGAACATGAAGTACTGATGCTCAGCATACATGGACACAGACACTGGACAATCATATACACAGAGACTAAATAATAAATGAAGGACACATAAGAGCTGGAATAAGAAATATGACACCATACTGAAATAGTATGAAAAGGATGGGAGCATACACAGAGATTTACATCACACATCCCTTTGCTGTGGAACAGCTACTGAAGAGATTAGATAGAAGTCCCACAGAAGGTCTGCAGAGTAACAATGAGCCCTGTGATGTTATCACAAATGTAAACAGTCCTTGGAAACCTGGCGTCACAGGGGACTAACCACCCAAATACAGATTAAAGAACAAATGCCTTACTAATGGGAATGTTCAAGTACTCCCAGATGTGACGGTTGACAGTTTGCTTCAAACATGTGAGAAACAACTGTTTAAAATCAACTTATGAAGAGTTTATTCTCTTTAAATTTAAAGAACAATGAACAAGTGAATAAGAAAGTTTTATGCTTAAAATACTTTAAAATGGGCTTTGAAAGCCTACTTAACAATTTACTAGAGTTAGGAGGACTCAGCCTCAGGGATATGGCCATGAAGATAATTTGGAATATTTGACTGTAATTATTGTCCCTGATAGAGCATAGCTCTGGGAAAAGGCTACTTCAGTGGGTGCTCCATAACTCATTTTTGGGCAGGTCTACACCACTGTCCCTGTAGTGCCTATAACTCAACAACTTACAGAGCATGCTGTGAGGACCCCTTCTAGGAAAGGCCACAAGGCGTCATCGAAAGGCATATGATACAGCTAATGACATATAAGCAACCAGGAGCGGTCACCTTTCAAATAACAATGTACTTGAGCCTCAAGTTTTCTTCTCCACTGTGCTATTGATTCCAGCCATGCATCTAAATAGATCTGACAAAAGCCAAGGTTGGCTTCAACTTTTAAGGTCATTAATACGATCAAAGATAGCCAGAGCATATCCTTAAAGAAAAAATAAAGACTGCATATCTGGAATTTACATCATCAGTACAGGAAAAAAAAACCCAAACTTGCATGAAACAGTTTCAAGTCTAACTGACTGAATAATCACTTCAAAACCCAGGAGATGGCCTACAGGAAAGGAAAGAGATTAATCATCAAAGTAAGCTACAGTTTGGAGGTCAGAAGGTAAGAACTACCACAGGACAAATTAAGTTAAATCTTGCACATGAAAACCAACAAAATCGAAGAAGATTGAGGTGGCAAACAAAAATGTTGCAGCCACAGAAAGGAAAAAATGTGAAAAAACGTGAGGATATATAGGACGCCTCAAAACAAAAGCAATATTTCATCTGAGATTATAAAAAGATTCACAATATAGCTGACAAAGCAAGACATCTACAGGAAGGATTGTATAGAAATTAAAATTAGTGAAAACAAAGGTTGTTGGTTTTGGCAATCTGCCCAGCCTCAAAACACATTTGGAATGAAAAAATAATTCAATTTAGTGGTGTTATCTTATTTAAAACTAACCTGATTTGTTTATTACAAAAATGGATTTTCTACAAAAAAGCAGAACAGGTCCTGTTGGACCAAGCAAATAAAATTGATGCTACTAGGTAAATATGAATTAAAACTTTGCAAAGATAAGAATTAGAACAAAAGTGGAAATGTGAGTAAATAACTTGGCAAAGGGGAAATTGCATCAGGTTGCATTAAAAGAGGAAGTGCTGATGTGCAGGGAGGGTACTATTGGATGGAGATCTTCTTTGGATATCAGCCTTTGGACAAAACCTATTAACTATTTCCATTAATGGTCTTTAAAAGAACAGGAATACACTAATCAAATTTGCTGGTGACAAAAAATTGGGAGACATCATCAGCACAGAAAACAGGTATCGCCCAGCAAGAAAGGAATGATCCTGAGTTTTCAAATTCAATATGGCAAGTACAAGTACTTAGGCACAAAGTAATAAATAACTGCTGTATCTTACTATGTTTCAATAGCAAACTGCTAATGAAGATGATCTTCATAGTTAATCACAAGATTCAGAAGCCAGCAAACTGTAACATTACATTATATTACATCACATATTGGAGGGTAATATTTCTATTAGCGTTGGAGAAGTATTTGTGCCATTATAGACACCATGTGCAATTTTGTTTTTTCACTGTCAAAAAGATGACCTAAACGCAGAAAAGCAGAAAGACTGGATTCCACTGTGTTGGGTTTGTGTGTGGTGGGATTTTGGTAGCAGGGGAGGGGCTACAGATGTGGTTCTGTGAGAAGCTTCTCGAAGCTCCCCTGGCTCCAAGTCAGACCCACCTCTGGCCAAGGCCGGGCCAATTAGTGATTGTGGCTGTGCCTCTGTGATATCCTATTTAAGAAGGGGAACCTGAAAGAAGGAGGAGTGAGGGAAAAACCTATGCAAACACTGAGGTCAGTGGAAAAAAGCAAGAGGAGGTGGGTGAGGTGTGCTGGAGCAGAGTGTGCAGGGAGGCAGCCCATGGAGGTCCATGGTGGAGCAGATGCTGACCTGCAGCCCATGGAGGACCTCACACCGGAGCAGGTGACTGCACCCGAAGAAGGCCAGGACTCTGCGGGAAGCCCACACTGGAGCAGTCTGTTGCTGGGAGGACTGCAGCCCACGACAGGGACCCATACTGGAGAAGTTTGTGAAGAGCTGCAGCCTGTGGAAAGGCCTCATGTCAGAGAAGCTTATGGAGGACTGTCTCCCATGGGAGGGACCCCATGCTGGACCAGGAGAAGAGTGTGAGGAGTGCTTTCTGAGGAGGAAGTAGTGGCAGAAACAACAGGTGATGAACTAACTGCAACCCCCATTCCCTGCCCTCCTGCACCACTGGCGGGGTGGAGGTAGAGATATCAGAAGCAAAGCTGAGCCTGGGAAGAAGGGAGGGGTGGGGGAAAGTGTTTTTATGATCAGGTGGTATTTATTACTGTCCTACTCTGATTGGTAAATTAAGTGGTGGTGGTGGTGTGTTCAAATTAAATTGATATTCTTTTTCTTCCTGTAATGAGTCTGTCTTGCTCGTGACCATAATGGGTGAGACAGTACTTGTCTTGATCCCCAAGCCTTCTGTTTTATTTTCTCCTACCTACCCCTGAGGGGGAAGGAGTGAGCGAGCAGCTGCATGGTGCTCAGTTGCCCTCTGGGCTTAAATGACAACACCACTGAGACAAAATGGGGAAAGATATCTATGTGGTAGAGGTAGACATGAACAGGGCTACTTGGTGCAGTTAGCTGAAAGACATAACTTGAAGAAAGAGGAAATGCCTTCCATAATGCATTCTTAGATATCCCCCAGATATCCCCATCAGCAAAATTTCAGAATAGTTCTGAGGTAGCACGAGATGATATCAATAAAACTGAAACAAATGTATATATGCTTTGCAGTACCAAGAATCCTTAAAGAATGACACTTTCTATGCCAACTGTTCTGTACTGTTCTGCTTCTCAGGTCATCTCTGTGTTAGTTTTGTTGTACATGGACAATACTATGTACAACATACAGCAACTACTTTTGAAAGCAGACGGGTGCTCCTTCAAATTGACTTGAAATTTATAGTAGACTAATATACACAGTCCTTTTTGTTATGCACCTTCCAATTCTCACTCCTCATGTAGAGAAAGACTTCCTTTTTCTCCTATGTTTGCAACACCTTCAGTAATTTTTGAACTGGCAGAAGAAAATGCTAGGGATACCTTACTGTGTCATTCTTCAGCTTAAAATATACTGGCTCACATAGCAGAAGCATGTCCCCAACATATGAAAAGTTGCTATGCTTTACTACCCCTTCACTTACCCAAGGCAGACAAACATCCCAATAGCCTGAGTAAAGTATCAAGTGCAGTTTCACGCAATTCAGTCTACTGTAAAGCTGGGCTACCTGGAAATGATATGTTCTCTCTGCCTCATGTAAATCAGTGCTACTCAGAAGATAAGATAGTGCTGCCTATGCCTAAATTGTCCATTTAATTACCCTTTAGAAGCATTTTAAGCTGGTTTCTGGATTTATACCAGGCATCAGGTCTTCCATGATAGGTGAAAAAGTATCGTCATTTCATGCTGGAGTCTGCCTCCCAGCTGCAGTATGGGTTCATCAGATAATCCTAGTTGATTCCAAATGTCTCTTTAACTGTATTAATCCAAGTGCATCATACCAATTAAACTAGATGATAAACAACATGCAGCTAAAAGAATATTTATGTTACCTACTATCTGGAACACTGCATCAAAAAATTAAAATCATATTTAGAAAGTTCTGATCATCATCTAATTAAACTAGAGAGGCATTAATAAAAATAAATGATGTTGCATTTCCTACAATAGCAAAATTCAAATTTCAAAATATTTTAATGAAAAACACGTCTATAAAAATTATGGATTTTTTTAATGAACAAAATCAATTAACTAGAAAAGAAAACAGCAATGGATCATGCAGGAAGATTTAGTTCCATTATTTTATTATCCCCATTAACTCTCTTGAAAACTACCTGCTGCACTCTTGCTTTAACACTGAATAATTATCTGTTTCTTGAGAAAACAACATGAGTTTGGTCCAGAAGATGGACATAGAACTCTGCTGATCAAAAAACTTCTGTTAAATTTGGCAATTTTGTCTTCAGGAAGACATCTCAGTAATTTTTAAGAGCACAATGTATTCACCTTAGCCATCCTGTGTCCAACCACAAAACCTCTTGTGGTTTCTTGTAATTTCCTTTTCCTTGAAGTACACAATTCACAGTCTGATGAGATATCTTTTACTTTTTCTACAATATCAACTCTATTTTAAGTGTTCAATTAATCTACTGCATCAGGCACTTCAGAATAATAGTTTCATTTGTCCATGTTTTTAAACATATTCTTGCACTAAACCAAGAAAAATAGTTGCATTCAAAGTAACTAAATCACAAAGCTAATGAGGTAAGAATGAGTGAGAGAAACCCATTGTGAAAGTGAAGCCATCATTCTCAGAATGGACTAGCTCTGCAACTTGCCCACGTTCAGTGGAGAGGTCTGTTTTAAGGAAGTGCAAGTTTTAGTACAGCTGATAGGCCACATCCCCTATTACATACGCCTGCAGATTTGCACAATCGATGGTGGCTGTGCAACTACAGGAGGTGCTGGAGTGCTCCCTGGCAGTGGTGAGCTTGGACAGAGCAGGGGAGGCAGCAGCAGGAGGACAAACCCTAGGAGAAAGCCAGGCCCAGCATTACAGCTGCATATTAACCTGCTGTGCTCAGCCTATACAGAGGTATAACCATTGATTCACTGACAAATACGTGCAATTTGATTAATCTGGATGCATTAGAGGAATGAGTTACTGATCCTGGTATATTACTTTTTGCCCTCACCACACCTGACTTTCCTTCCTTTGTATTTCTTACAAATGATAGCGGCAAAGGGGAGGGTTAGGGAAACCAGATCCTTTCCATTAAAATGTCAGGCTGTCTAAAACTGAGTTTGCTAGGTTAACTTACTTGCAACATCTGACCCAGCTCCAGCTTCGCTGATTCCCAAGCAAGCCACAAAATCTCCAGCTATAGTTGGTACAAGAAACTGTTTTTTCAACTCATCAGAACCAAACCTGCAACAATACAATGAAAAAGATATTAAAAGCTTTTGAAGGCAAGCTTTATTTACAAGTGAGTTTATTTACAATTGAGTTTTATTTACAATTTCGTTCTACCCAGACAGTGATCAATTTTCCTATGACTAGGTAAAACCTGTCCCAGAGCCAAAAGACAGAATACATACCCTCCAAAGCTATGATTCAGAGACTTCACCAGAAGTGCAGCCACAATCTTTTTAAAGAAGCTTTTTACAAGTATTCAGACATCTTACTCCTAAGAAATGTGTGATCTAGATGCCCAAAATCTGATCTTTGTGACTTTTGTTTTGAGAGCTATCAGATCTAAATAAACATTGTCCCTGTGGTTTCCCCTCAGTGCTCCTGCACCGGTCTGCTCTCAGCCAGGATGGAGGACCTGCTCTCTATGCATCTTCTGACTTTTGCACCAGGTGTTTGCCAGGTTTTAGTGGTGACTGGAAAGTTATGACAGGTGATGGCCACCCTCTGCAAATATCTGTATTTACATTATTAATATTTCACATCTGCATTTAAATCACACAGTGAAAGTCATTAGTGCTTCTTCCTAGCCGTTCTTCTAGTTCCCACAAAAATAAAGAGGGAAAAGAAAACTGTTGATGGCATTTTAACTCAAATTCTCTTGGCCATATTTCAATTCAGTTAAGACACACCTTCTTTTTTTCTAACGTTTAGTTGCTTTCATCAATTTAAAACATGGTCCATCTCATTTCACGGTTGATTGAGTCCTAATTGACATTCACTGATTTGGTCTTGCAACATGAATGTTAAGTTCATGGTGTAGTTCTTGAACCTCTCTTGTGTTAGACTGAAAAATTCCTTGGGTCATGAGATGTCTCTTTTGTGAGCAGAAATCTGTAAGAGTTAAGGTCCTCCTCAGCCTCCTCTTTGGTATGAGGCTTCTCAGCTCAGCATCTCCACTCATCTCCTTAGGCTGCCTAAGCAGGCTGCAGTTGCCCGGGCCCTCCTTCTAAAACACTCTCCCAGTACTTGCAAAGTAGAATCCATTTCAGCTAAGACTCTGACCCTTCCCCTCCACTCCAACTCTGACAAAAAACAGTCAAAGAATAAGGGATGGCCAGAGAGCAGTGGGAGCTGGCAGACAATTTCACTTTGTGCACACAAGGAGCTCAATTCCTAGTCCTGTCCCAGTTGATAATCATGGCAGCAATCCCAAATAAATACAAAAAGCGAGCTTGGAGTGTTTACTCCTTCCTCCAGCATACTGGGACAAAGTCCCCTGGTTTGTTTGCAGTGCACTTTATTTTTTTTCTTTTTCTTGGGACATCATCAAGTATGGCCAGTTGAACATTCATTAAGACAATGAATTAAGACAATTTTTGGCAGGGCTTTCTGTTGCTTACAACTTTGCCAACCTTTAGTTGTTTCAACAGAGGATTTCCATGACAAGAGCTTTCCTCAGAATAATGTTTTTGGTTTGATATCTTTGTTTGTTTAAATTCCAGAAAACAGTTCAGCTCTTCCCAAAAATGAGGCAACAGAAGAAGTTATTTTGCAATTAAAAAAAAAAACCAGTCTGGCAACACGATCTTCAGAAGATCATGCCTTGCAGAAAGGACATGCTGCTCAGCAAGCAGCTAGCTATTGTGTTAGAAATATGTTGTTTCTGTAAAATTCTACCCATCTTAAATGCATCCCAGAAAAATATTGGGTTTGCATAAATGCAATATCCACTTCTTTCCAGTTCAACAGCTCCAGAATTAGCAAACTCTGTTTGCAGTGAGATCATGCTTTGGCCTGACAGACCAGGCTGCTTTCTGGGCTGGGGCCATACCCCAGAGCATAGTTTCCCATGTGATTAACTGTGCAGCCTTAGCATCATTCTAAAATATGCACACACACAAGTTACAGTCAATAAACTGGGGCTGGGTAACCCAAAAGTCCCAAGTGTGAGATTCTGACACTTTAGAAGTTACATGGGAGTGGTCCATCCTTTCTTGCTCCACACTTTGTAAGTAACATTGGTGGGATGTCATGAACACAAACACAAAAATCGCAATGATATGCAATCTTGTAAATGGTGGTTAAAAGGAAAATAAAACCATGGCAATATATAGATGTAAGAACACTTCCTTGATCCACATAGTTCTGTTTATGTGCTCTGCCAGTGAGAAATTTGAAGTCACCTTTATTCATCTGAGATATATATAAAAATCTGGTTTGTGACAGGTTAGATTGCTACATTGAATGAAAATATGTCTATTGCACATCACTTCTGATTTAATTGGGCTGATAATCATCTTGGTAGAACCATGGATCCTATTCACTTTTTTTTCTTCTGTTTCTGGGGAAAAAGCTGAGGCTGAAGTGAAATAATTAAGTTAGTAAGGCAAGTTCTGAGTAGAACTGGCAGATATACTCTCATGATACACTATTAAGTGCAAATTGAAATTCTGAATATGAACAGCTGCAGGCAGTTCTAACACGTCTCTCAGCATTTGATCAACTCAAGCTTTCTTGCACTGGAGCTCACACATTCAAGTACTATCCACCGCCAAAGCAAAAATACATTTAAAAAACAAAAAAAAGAGACATTTTCAGATGATCTATGCACTATTCTACAGTATTTGAAAGATGACACGATACTTTACCCATGGACTTCTTAGGAATATAAAGATGATTTCCTTTAGACAAAGAGGGTAACTCTGACCTACTGTCACCTTACTTCTTACATACTAGCAAGAGGTAAATTTCTCCCAATTCTCTCTGTTCTGCTCCTAGATTCAAACTATTAATAAAACAGTAGCCACGTGCCATGCTTTTGCCTCAGCATAGTCCCAAACAGGCATCCTACCATCTTATGTCCAAGTCCAGCTTAGCAAGTATTCCTTGGATCTTCAAGATACAGGAAAAGAAGCAAGAAAAAAACAAAAGAGAAGAGATGCACTTTACAGGCACAGAAAGGGTTAGAATTGAATGGTGAACAGCAGCAAACACCCTTGGGCAGCATGGAAACCTCATTAAGTCCAGTAATTTACACAACCTGGATTTAGAAGAATCCACACCTCAGTCAGGTTTCTCTCAAGTCCCTATTGCAGTCAAGATATGAAGACATGCGAGTTTAAAAAAACCCACATTTAGAAAACTTATTTACTTTTTGTGAAAGATGGCATAAGAAAATAAGCTATAAGTGCTCTGGCTCCCAGTTTTTATCAAGCCTTTAAGCTTCAGTTATTTGAAGATTTTATGAAATAAATTGCTCAGTTCAAGCTACTGCTATATTCTGAAAAGAATACAGATGAGAAGCCTGTATGAGACTACCTGATGGGTATGACTACCTCATGCAGATGAGACTACCTGAGTGGTTTTGGTTAAGAATGATTATGTCAATCTTCTCTTTATTTAGGAATGCATTTTGCACTCAAATGCAGGTATTCTAAAAGAGGAGTCCTATTAAATATTACCCTTTTCAGATCATGCAGTTTTTAAGAGCCGCTTATGTGGCTAGTGTCTTGCTGCTACCACATCAGCTCTGGAGTCCTCCAGGCTGCCCACCAGACAACCTGCCACTTGCAACCAGGCTGTCACCAGGAGTTGGAGAAACCTCCAAGGTATGGGAATAGCGTGAAGCTGTTTTGAGGAAAGCTAGTTCATAAGCAGATGCTTGACTTCATATTGCCACACCATATTGCTCTGGCCTGTTAGACCCTCGTGGGTTTTTAAAACCACAAAGCAGCACAACTGGCTATGGATGCATCGTAACTAGCCATCATGACAGCAATGCTTAATGATACTTTTATTAATGATATGCTGAAAGCTGCTCCTATAACAGCCTCTGACCCACCTTATGCACACTATACAAATTAAGTACCAAATATGAGAGTGATACAACTCAGTATGCCTGTTCTTGAAGAAGCACAAAACCAAGCCTCCCTTGCTATGCCAGTGGGAAAGCTACATAGCTCTTGAATGACCTCTTCCCATTTCCAACCTCATCCCACCTGATCAAGTGGATGATCCTGCTTTTCAAAACTGCTGTTCTGATTGTCTTCTCTCATTTACAGCAAACAGGAAAAAAGATAGCTAAACTAACTTTTTGGACATTAATTCTCAGGTATGATGCTGTTCAGGGTGGAGAAAGAATCAGTGACAAGTAAGCTGATGAAACAGAAAAGCACTCTATTCCCACTTAATAATGATCTCTATTCTTACTGTCTTCCTATAAATAACAGGGGGGTAAAAAGAAAAAAAAATGAAAGTTTATTGCTTACTGCTGAGATAAAGGAGCTCTACTGATCTGGTATCACTATGGATGTGCCACCCTGTAGGTTTGTTTAGAAGCCCAAGGAAATGTATCTCATTCACCGCCCCAGCTGAGAGCTGCCTTCTCCACTCTGCTAGTAAGCATGAAAGCATTTCTATCTGACTTCTATCTGAATGCATTTGAAAGACCTGGCAGAGAGTTATATTCAGAACCAGGTACATTAAATATCAGAACACTGCTGACAAAACATTTTATATTTAGTTCTCAAATTCAGAAAGCACTACTCCTTCACTTAGAGGAATCTGGGAAACCAAAAATGGAGCATATTCAAGTGAAACAAAACTATTTTCTTCTATATTTGTCTGCACAATAGAAAACCATATAAATCAAAATCTGCACAGTTGCTTTAAACTGTGACCATGAATATAACTTTCTGCAGGTTGCCAAAAAAAAATCATAAAAAATGTACTAAAAAAGGGTAAGAACAGTGGACAAGCAAACAGATACAGGTAACATTTTCAAAATCTATTATTTATATTTATATTTATATAATTAAAACTGTTACTACAATGTGCTTGCCATTTATCGGTGTATCTCAAAGCCTTGCAACACTTTGTCACTGAAGAAACAAACCCATGGAAGTTGCAGAAACAGCATCAGGAGAATCCTGACTCTAAATCTTTTACAACTTCATTTTTCCAAAGTATGAAAATTCAAAAATCTCTGTGTGTGCATATGTGTATCCATCTGCTCAAATTATGGTGCTATCTATATATCTAATTGAGGGAACATCTCTAATTTATAGTGGCAGAGCATCTTCATGGTGTATTGCATTCACTGAGTTGGTTTGCAGGTGCACTCAGTACATGCTTGAAGAATGCTGAATAAAGCCCAAAGTTAAAGAAAGCCATCAAAGGGCTCCAGACTTCTTTTTAGAAGTTTCTTAGGGGATGATGGTTGATTCCCATTTTACTACTTTTGTGCATCACTGATGCATCATGTGTAACAATGCATGGTTAAGATGCAAAATTTGGATTATCTCTTTGAACTTGTTTAGGATCACCACAGTATACAGATATGTTTAAGTAACCATCCAGATTGTGAATGCAATTTGAATCCATGACCCAGGACAAGCAGTTAGCCCTCTCACTATAATGCCTGAAGTAAACCTGCACCCATGCAAAACTTCCTGTAGCAACCACCTTTCTCTTTTCATTACCAAGTTCAACATTTACATCTGAAGAGTGGGACACTGTACTGTTTAACTAGTCAGTGGAATTGACTTAACAGTGGAGGAAAAGTTCGCTAATAGAGATGCAAACTCACAGATTTCATCACGTTAACGACATTTTTACATTTACTTTCCAAGAACATCCACTTTAGGATTTCACTCACACAAATGTATGTAGCTTCACAGCTTTACTACAGCAGAAGAGGGTAACAGAAGGCCAAAAAACTGGAATGGAATGAAACCCTGTCTTCTTTTATTCACATTTTTTTTAAATCCCTGGGAATAAAAGGCTATCATAGGGGCAAGGTGCTATTCTCTAGAGTATTTTAAAATATCAGTTTTATTCTCAGATGGGCTATAACTAAGCTACTGTTGCAGTAGACATACTGAACTTCAGGCTTTCAGCGAGCTTTTAATGTATTACACAAAGGAGAAGACAACTTTCAGAAAGATTTCCCATGGCTGAGACCTCCAAAGTTGCACATACCTAGAAGGATAAATGGATGTCAAGGGAACAGAGCCTACATTCCAGACTACAGTGGATTTACAGGCATTTTCATTCAGAATGGGAATGACTGCACTGGGATATCTAGCTAAGAAAAAACACAAACATGAATAGGGGAATTCTGGAATTAAAATTGTTTTATTGGTTGTGGCACCAAGGTTCTGTGTTTGAAAATATATACTATTAAACAACGTCTATGTTTTAATATACAATATTCTAACATTAAAAGAAAAGTATTTTCTCCCCTAAACCAAATTGAGAGAGGTAGAGAGTAGCTTCCTTCCTCAAATGTTATTGAAGAGCAACTAGACACTAAATCTGCACAGCTATATTTTTTCTACTCATATACAGATTGGGTTTTAGGCCTAAACACATGACAATTTGGGTTTTAGGCTAAACCAAACTTTCTGAAAATTACCTTGTAAGAGCAGGTGTAGCCATGACAGCTTGCACTCCAATAGCCATAGGAATACCTCCACAACGGATACTTCCCAGCTCTTGTGCCAGTGCAATGTTATAGGAGAAGTCCAAGCCCATGCCACCATATTCTGAGGAAGAAACAAATACATGACACTCATGCTGTAGAGTGGCATAAACAAGAAAAAAAAAAAATAAATTGCTACTTCAAGGACTTGCCAACTGCAATTTCACCGCTAATTTTTAAATATTTGACAATTATCAGCTTTCTTTTCAGAAAAGTGATGCCACACTATTTTTTACAACACCTGATTTTAAAATTACACCTGCTGTAATTACCCACATGCACTTCAGGTCACCTCTGAATATCCTAAGTAGCATCACTGCTTTTACTGGAAAAAGTGACATGCTTCTGAAAACAACATTAGAAGGCAATGTTATTCTTTCTAATAGCAAGATCATATGAACAAATCACCACCAAGGTAAGAAGTGCTTTTATTTCTCCACAATAACTCCTGACACCTGCTCTCACCCCCCTGTACACTGAAGTGGATCTCATCTTTCTCACACACAGCAATCAAATCAGCATACAGCAAGACCACATGCAGGTCATGTCCCTATGTTAAGTTACAGCTGTAGCTCAAAATCCACACCAGTGCAATACTGAACACTTGCATTTCATATCCTGGCACCTGGATGGTGCAGTCATTAAAGCATTTTGCATTTGCAGGACACCAATGACCCAGGCTGCTGGCTGGGCACCAGCACAGGCCATTCCTCCTCCCCACATTCCAATCTGCAAATTCAATTAAAGAGGATATTATTCTTCACCTCCTTCCCATGCCCAGCACTGATAAACCCATCATACAGCAAAACACAGAGAAGGGCTACATTGCTATGATGGATAAGGTAATTCCTAGCTGTATTAAAGAGTTTATAACCCAAAGGAAATAGAGTGAGAAAGAGGTTACAGCTTGACGTCATTAGTTGACTGAGAAGCTTTGATTAGATAAAGTTCTCAAACTATTTTGGTTTTGCTTGGTTTTACTCATTTTAAGACCAATTAAGAAAATTTCAAATAAACAGATACAATCCCCCACTCCTCACACATACAATAAGGGGCAGAAAACCCTCTTCCATTTTCACTTGCTGACACCAAACTCTATCTGAGCTCACCCCTCTGTTGGCCTGCTTTGAAGTTTTAAAAGATCACCATTAATTAAAAATCAAAACACCACAGCGCATATAAAAACAGGGCTTTGTGTGCTATCACCTGATTCCTAAATGCAAAAAAACCTCTTTGCATCTTTTCTTCTGCAGACAGAAAGGAAAACGCTAAGCATGAAGTTCAGTTTTCAAGTAACATTTCTTCTTCAATCATCCTGAATAGTCTGGATTGTCAAAATTAAAAAAAAAAAAAAAGCTACTTTTCCAAACTTTTACCTGAAAATAAATAATGTTTCCTAAAAATATAAACAAAATTAAAATTCTTATTGGGAACTTAAGCAGTGCAGCAAAACAACAGTAATATGGTAATGTGTTTAGTATAATATATAATCCAATTCTCTTGCCTTTACAAAGCCTCTATCAAATAAATGTTCTGAGGAACAGTAAGGAATGTATGAGCATGCAAAGGCAAGGCTATTTAAAGATTGGTGGTATGGCAGTTTTTGCTAATTTTATATGAATCCATAGCAGAGTTATAATAGAAAACCTCAGTTTTGGCACTGCACAAATGCTTTCCATTTGATTTTATTTTTTTAAGATCAGTCAATCATTTTAGTGCCAAATTACAGTTATTACTAATTTTGTCTTTGGTTTTGTCTACCAAGCAGTTAAATTCCTGTCTTAATCTCACAAATCAAAACCTGTTTCTTGATTTACCCAAAGCAACTTCACAGGAGGAATGCTATGCCTAAAACTGACACAAAGAAGGACCATTTATGCAAGTGTACAGCTTATATACATTCTTTGATCGCATGACAATTCATCATATATTACTATATAACAGGCTTGCCTTGATCTCACTTGAGATTAGTTACTAAATGCTACACTTTAAAAACAAAATGCTTCAAAAGTTCAGCTCTCAAAGTGATGACACCGAAGGAATTTCCTACTAAATGGAGAAAATGGTAAGAACAAAGCCTCAGAAGCTGAGAAGGTGGAGGAGGGAAGCCTACCAGGCAAAGAGATGACGCATTCTCCGAAGACTTTATAATCTGGGGATAGATAATGCAAGAGACAATCACAGATGCAGATAGGCAGGAAGGGCAGAAGCAAATGGTAAAAACATTAATCAGATAACACCTAACTTTTAATCAGTTCTATTCCAGGTGCCAAGGAGAAAGAGTTTCATAAAAAAAAGTGAGTGGTTTGGCAGACAATTATAGATAACCCCTCCTTTGAACACAAAGTACTTGATTGAGACAGGTTCACTTGTCAGTGCAGGTACATTCCTAAGTAATTTATTCCATGGCTAAAGACACTGCATTGAGACGTCCTGCCAGCAGTGTCACACACAACAGCAGGCAGCGCTAGCTCCAAGCACCAATGCAACTTTCTTTTTTCCCCAGCACACGGTGGCAGCCTGGCTTTCATAGACCTGCTGCTGGCACTCCAGCCAGCTATCTTGGGGCTGGTCTGAGCACATCACCTTGTGTGCCACAGGACTCAGCTCTTAAACTGGGCCATTCTTATTTCCACCTGCTGCAGCAATGATGGTGAATGTTTTAAGGAATGAATTTTCAGTTTTTATTTGGAATAAGACTTACTCTTTTTGGAGTAATTCTTATTTGCAATAAGCGAATAAGCTAGTGGTAGAAGGGTCATGTTTGCCAATCTCATCAACAAACACGACCTCCTGGAAGTATCTGTACAATGATGTAATGTTAACAGGTCAATTTAATTTTCATTCAGAAAAGCAAACACCATGCCTTCTAGGTGAAAATTCCGTAATGAAAGGAACCAAATAAATTTCAGATTTAACTGCTTTTTAAAAAAAACCCCCACAAAACAAACAAAAAAAACCCCAAAACCACAAAACCCAAGCTAAACAACCTATATGTTATTTACATGCGAAACATTTCTAGAGCAAATATTTCATTTAACTTTAAAATGAGATGAGTGGCCTTCAGAAAATTCTTTGGCTACATTTCCATTCTTAATTTGCAAGAAATATTAAAACAAAGCAAAGCAAAACTAGGCAGAAAGTCTAATGTACTAATGTTTTTATAATTCAAAACGAGTAGAAAAAAGGCAACTCCGCTATATTAAAATTGTTACTGTTTTGCTGACAATAGCACAACTTCCAGCTCTTCAACAGCTTAATTTGATATCTTATCCATAGTTTGATTTCAGGTTATTTTACTAAGAAATTAAATTATAAAGCCCAAAGCAAGAACACATGAACATGCAAATAAAGATTCTGCACTAGAGACCATAGGCAGGACCTACGCTGGAGTTCAGGAAAAGTGTGAGGAGGAAGAAGCAGCAGAGAGGAGGTGCTATGGACCGACTGCAACCCCTCACCCCCCAGCTACACTCGGGTGTAGGAATGAAGCTGAGCCTGGGAAAAAGGGTAAGAGGATGGGGTGAACATATAATTTTAGTTTACCTTTGTTTCTCACTACAAATGTCAGCACTCACTACAGATTTTCAGCAAATCAAATTAATTTTCTTCAAGTCAAGTCTGCTTTGCTGATGATGGTAACTGGCAAGCATCTTCCTCACTCTATCTCAATGCCTGAGCCTTGCCAATGTATCTTCTCTCCTGTACTGTTGAAGAGGGGGAGTGAGTGAGCAGCTGGGTGGGTGTCTGGCTGATGGCCAAGGTGAATCCAACACACCATGGCCAGTATATTCACCTATTTTTCTTTTAAATTGGCTCTGTGCTTTTCTACTAATCACCATGACCACATTATTTTAATACCACTCCCCCAGCCCCCAAAGAAAAACCTCATGCTCATTATTTTATGTAGACCAGCTTATTTCTACATGTCTATTTTGTGACACTGACAGTGGAGAGGGAATCTAAGAGAGAATAGCAAGTTTTAAAAACCACCACTTTTAAAGGATGCAGATCTACATTCTACTAAATCTGATAATTTAGGGTATTAGGACTTTTGTATCTGAATATAGGCAGACAGCAAAGATGATGCCTAAAAATACAAATAAAAGAGCAAGACCATCTGATCTTCAGCTGCAATATGTCAAAACAGAAACACTGAGATCAGCTGGGAAAACAAAGGCAAAGAATTTCTATAAAAAAGGACATATGAAGGCAAAGGAGAAGCTAATCTCTTTCATATAATTGTCTCATTTTTGTGAAGACTAACACGTTTCTTGTCACTTGTTCAGCTACAGTCTCCCTGTTCAAATATGACTCTGTTCAACAATGAGACAGGCTTGAAGCCTCTAGTTCTAATTTTCTAAGAGTTTAGAAGTGTCTCTGTTTGAAATTTGCTTCTGAACCCCATCTAATAGCTGTCAGTGAAAATGACAACATCCGTGGTGAAAAGGGTCTATAAATGAGTTGAAGCAACATGAAACGGGGGTCTTAGGAGTGTTTTAATAATGTGAGTGAGCCTGGAAAAAGTAATGGTGAAAACGCAATACAGCCCTATCAATAATTCAACCTTAAATGCTTATATAATTTATCTTGTTTGTTTACATAGTTTCCAAAGGTCACATAAAGTGTATCTACACCAAAGGAAATCATGCAGTATTATTTCTACTATTGGTCCCTAACTCAGCGCAAGAAAAAACAAATGTGTGCTCTTGTTTCTAGTGACTAGAATAAGACAAAACATGAATCAACTCCCATTTTGAAGATAGGTCTGAGACACTCCTACATCTGACACTATGATGACAGACCTAATTGCCAGTTTTCATCATCATCTACAGTTCTAAATCACAGAAGCAATATTTAAGTCTTCAAACCTTACTCACCCGTCATAAATATAGTTCAAGAATTTCAACTCCAGAGGACCACAAAGAGCCTTGAAGCTACATAATTGCAAATGTCATCAGATAGGACAGTACAGAAATCCTACTGTAGTTCATTTAATCTTCTTTACATAAAAGTAATTTAAAGAATTACCAAAGGTATACTCTCCATGTTGTGCAATTTCCC